GAGAGAGAGAGAGAGAGAGAGAGAGAGAGAGAGAGAGAGAAATAACTTCCCTCTGCACCTACCTGAAGATACGCTCCATATTCTTATTAGTTCTTTTTTAGAGAGGGCTTATTTCTCGTATTCGCTCAAACAATCGCATCTTCTCAAACATTTCGCTCAGATAATCAATCTAGAGAAGAAACGAACTGACACACCGATAGGCAATACCAATCGTTCCCCCAATCGATCAAGCAACCACCCACATACTGAATCAATCAATCAATCAAGCAAGCAATCAATCAGTCGATCAATCAGTCGATCAATCAGTCAATCAATAAGTCAATCAATGAATCAATCAATCGATCGATCGAGCAATCAAGTAAGCAACCAAACAATGAATCAATCAACCAGTCAATCAATCAATCAATCAATTAATCAATCAATCAATCAATTAATCAATTAATCAATCAATCAATCAATCAATCAATCAATAGATCAATGAAGAAGGCAGGCAAGCAACCAATCAATTAATTCATCCACATCTATCAATTAGTCAATGGTTCGATTAATCAATAAACTAATCCATGAATCGAACAATCAAGCAAGCAAGGAAGCAATCTATCTATCAATCAATGGACCCACTAAGCAAGCAAAAAATCTACCATTCAATCATTTCAATCATTCAATCATTCATTCAATCAATCAATCAATCAATCGATCAACTAATACGTCAGTCAATCCGTAAATTAATAAATCAATGAATCAGTCAACTAACAAATCGATCCATCAATCAATCAATCGATCAATCAATCAATCATTCATCAATCAAATGATCGATGGATGGACGGATCGATCCATTGACAAGCCACATGAACCTAACGATATGTTCAGACCCTTCAATCAATCAATCAATCAACCAATCAATCAACCAATCAATGCAGTTGTCCATCACCCATGTAGACGCTAGAAGCTGACCTGCGGCCCCCAGCTCCCCGCCCCCCTCCCCCCCCCTCAAAGTGGACCCCGAAGGTGATCAACAGCCTCCCCAAATGCGTTCGACGGGCCCTTAATTTACCAACTACGTGACCATCCACTCCGCTAGGCCAACCCACCAGTCAATCCCTCTGTCTGTCAGTCCAACCTGGGCTCCACGTCGCCTGATCCTCTAATCCCCCTGAGGGCCAGACTATTTGGCGCCCTGCAACCGGTTCCTTTAAGTAAAACCCCTGGCCCATAGCGCACCTGCATCTCAGCTATATCTGTACTCTGTGACGTGCAGGGCCTAGTAGAATCGAACCCTACACCTCTCCCTTACAACTCCCTAGCTCCAACCCACTGATCAACTGGTCTGCTGATCTGTCTACGTGCTGTACTAGGCTGGGGGAACAAGTACGTGGTTTGCCAATCAAGCAGCGACTGAAAGTCTGCAGCGGAGGTTGAGGCCCGACAGAGTCGAACACATAACCTTCCCGTTACATCGCCAGAGCTATAGACCTCTACCCCACTGAGCTACCACGCTCATTCCGTCTAAGACATATATATATATATATTGTCACAGCCCCTCGTTTGTTGTCCTCTTCTCTCTCTCTGCCTACGGTTTACCGGGCAGTTCTATTTGTGACGATATATATATATA